TATATATATATATATATATATATATATTCCTAAGTTGTTTGACTATATTGATTTGAAGTTAATATTTCATCAAGTGATGCTAAACAGTCTAAAAGTGAACTGCAATTTTGGGATGGACAAAAACTGTAGTTGGAATAGAGACCATGCTCCAGTACTGTGCTACTTGAATATAGCAACGGTTCCTAGTTGCTTGGACACAATTCTTGTTAGTTTCTAAAGCCTAGAGGTTTCTCGACCTTTTAGTTGTCATGATGAGTAAACAATTAAGTGGAGGGCAACAACTGCAAAATCATGTCCATGATTCACATGCAGCACATTCCGTAATATAACCCCTTCATCAAAAGAATATGCAACATTGCCTTGGCTCTAATAGAAGTCTTTGACTACTGATTAAATTCCTAAACTAGCCCTTCATAAGACAAAATTAAGAAAACTTGTGGACCATAATCAATATTTTGTAATGATTGCTAGTGTGTAAATAGAGAAGAGCAATCTTTCCGGAAAACAATCTTACCTAAAATAAGAAGTGTCGCATTTTTCGGATGAAGGGAGTAATACATGGTGACACAGAAAAACGCAAAAGAAAATACAGAACTGACCTCCTTTATGACCTGAGGATCAGGTGAAAAAAATTGGGGGAATAACCAGGGGACAATTGTTCCAGCAGCACCTAATATTAATCCGCATGACACGCCGATTATCACCAGTGACTTTAACAGCATTCTTGCCTGGGAAGATCAGTACACCCAGCAGAGTTTTGTGAAATTTATATACAAATTGCTATGCACATAGTACTAAAAGTAAAACATGAGAAAACACAAATGCTCATTAAAAAACCGTCTTCCAACCAATGGCCTCCACTTGTGCCGTTTGTTTTCTTCCATTTCCATTTCTATTTCCATTTTGTGGGTGCCATTGTAAGATGCACAATTGCACATAATGAAAATGAAACCGTTGAAATGAAGATGAGAACTGGGAAAATGAGCATAAAGAATGAACCATCATTGTTTACTAAATGGGACATGGGAGTTTCTCAAAAGCTATGCTTGTTTAGTGGCAAAGGGTGTATAAAAAGTTAGGCTAAAATAGTTGCAGAAACTAGCACCATAAATGACATCACTAACCTTTGATAGACTTCGTTTGGTGCCATATATAAGTTCTGGCATAAATGATTGTGCGGTTTGGGAGAGAGGTTCGCCCCCTACAGCGAACATACAGTATACTTGGACAAGGACCTAAATTAATAGTAATTTGTTAGGGTCAAAAATAAAGCCTGCTTGGACTACAAGAAAGAACAACTCAAGACATGCCCATAGTGCTGCAAGTAGAACCAACCTGATGGGCTGCAACAGTCTGTGTGCCCATTGATGTAGCAAAGTACACAAGTAGAGAATAGAATGCCACCTAAAACAACAGACAGCAGAAGATAACTTAGGTAGGAGTTTTCTTTCCCAGGTGTTTTCTTCTTGTGGGGTGGGGTGGGGGGATGGTGAAGGAGTAAAGAACGCAATGCTAAGTGCAGCATAAAAACCTTGGACATCATCATTATAAACACTGGAGCAGCAAGCTTAAATATTTGTAACAGTTCAGTAGCTGATGGAACAGCAATGGCATAACCATTATACCCTTTATCTTTCAGAGCTTCAATCATCATAAATCCTGCAACAACCTACAATATATGTGAGGTGTGACACAACAAAAAATAACGCATAAGAAAACTTAACGGATGCATATTGAACCATTTTTCATATAACATACCTGTGATACCATTGTTGCCCATGCTGCTCCAGCAATACCATAGCCTAAGTATAAGCACAGAACTACATCACCAATACCATTGATAACACTTGCAACTGCCAGAGCCTTCAAAGGCCCCCATGAATCCTTCATGCCGAGGCTACTCAAAAAACAGGATAATAGATTAGCAAGTCAATCATACATCTTCGATTAAAAATCAAGCCACTTGTTAATGAAAATATCTAGATAGTAGCCATAATAGATCATCATATTTACAGGATCTGAAAGTTACTGATTCTTCAGAAATGATACACATTTTAGTTTAAGAGCATCAAACATGATTACATGATCTATCCTAAATTCATATTATAGGCTCCATCTTCACTTATAGGTCATTAACATTGCAGGAAGATAATGGAATAAGAGTCAAAAAGATGATGGATACTAGATTCTACCAGCAAAATCATCAATTAGTGAAATAACATATTCTGCTTACCTTGCACTCTGAGCAACCCATCCAACAAGAACTGCAGGCCATGCCAAGCCTCGAATCTACTAACATAAAACAAATACATTCAAGTGATTTGACAAGCATATAACTGAAACCAGGTTACAATAAACGGGAAAAAAAAGTATAGGTAGTGTACTCCCATACAACAATGTATGTAAAATGAAAAGATTTATGAACAGTTTGCTTTCTAATATGAGCATTCAGCATGCAGATGTTAAAAGTACTTGACCTTAAAAAAGCACATGAACAAAAGGAAGAAAGTGGATTCCTCACATGTGATGCAGCAACAGTAATATCAATGAATTTTCAAAGCTTAACTTGCTGATTCAATTTCCCTTCTTGCAACGTTATATCCCATACCGAATTAAAGCAATATCCATCGAGAATTGCATGTTCAAAATCTACTAAGACACCCATGGAAAACTCGTTGACATCTTTAGAAAGTGCAAACAGAAGTATTCACCACAAATGGAAGGACTGTTCAAATCGATGGTGTGGAAAGTGGAGAGCTAGGACAATCAAGTGGTAGGGTATGGCTCTCAATTATGGGTCATGTTTTTCTTCCTTAAATCAATTACACATGAACAAAAATGCATCTCCTTTCCTGGTTGTCTGTAAAAGGAAATCTAATAGACATATTTGGATGAGCAAATCAAGGTTTCCATGGGACAATCCTAAGACTATAATAAAACTCAATATGTTTTCCTTCTCTCCTATAGGCCAATTACCAAAAATTCCCAATTTTAAGGGGTCCATGATTACACCAACTAAATACAAATACAATCTTCCTGCAGAACATCAACTCCATCCTCCAAACAAAAGGAAGTCCCAAGTTTATTGATATAATGGAAGTACCCTGAAACTACCCAAGATCAAAAGAATAACTGTTATGGATAGAGTTTCTAGAATCCAAAGAACCTGAACGTATGTGTTTGCTGCTGATATCATATGTGCATTCTTGGCTCCAGCAAAAGCTGAAAATGTTGCATCATGAAATTTATTGATTACTAGAAAGCATTTGCAAATTACAAAAGACAATACCTCAATTGAAAAGGTAGAGATAAAAAATTTCAGTTGAACGACACTGGTTAAATTCATAATTGACATGTTTTTATCTGTGCTTGATCTTGCTATTGCTTGGACTCTATATATAGAAGAAAACATAGTACTCTTGTTTTGCTCCAAATCCAAATATGTTTCACCACACAAAATGAGAAACAAAAACTATATCTAGTTTGTAAAGGACGGAGTAATATCATTAGGATTCTATACAGCCAAGCATCAAATGTCTCCGAAGTTGAAGGGAAGAGAACAAAATCCAAAACTAATTCTTATTACCACTCAGTGCCCATTCTCCCCGAAACCTTGTAAAGAAAAGCATCAATAGACCAGATGTCAATCCAACAAAAAGAAGAGTCGATATCTGATGCTGCACCTCGGATTTATCCTGCACAACTTGACTAGTCAGGTAATTCAAGAGAAAAGATAAGGGATCAATGTTGCAGAAATATGAAATCAAGGATAAGAGGGAAAGAGCATTTATAGAACATATCGCACTGGATGTTATCATCAGTCATTACGAGAGGAAATAAGAGTATGAAGCAACAATAAGAATGTCCATTGTCCAACAAAGGGTATTAACCGATAATTTTAAAAATATTTAGCATATCAGTTACTTGTACTATTGACACAATAACATCATAATAGTTGGAGGGACTGGCTGAAACATTTAAAAAAGAATATCATAACAGATAATTATAGATGTAACTTTTGAGCTGCTCAAATTTTAAAATCGTAGGCTCTCAAACCTATATGAAATGTTTAATTCATGAAGACAACAAACACGGTGATGCATCTACAAGTGTATGTAGTAAACTCAAATAAATTAGTCTGCCTTTGAATTATAAGTTTTCATATATCGAAATATATGTATATGTGTATATATATTGAACTACTTCATTACTGAACAATGTGTTAAAGAAGATCATAAAGGCTTAGCAGAAGAATATAGAAAACCTTTTAATTTTACGACTTTTCAACAAAAAGACAAAGAACATGGAAGTTTTCTTTTAGGCAGCTTAAAAAAAAAGAATCATATCCTGACACATTGACACTGAGGCTCGTAGAAACTAAATCTTGAACTGATATGAGAAGGCTTTCTTTGGTGCCATGGAGAAGTGTTCATTAAAGCATGTATGATCACTGGAAACATTAAGTTATCAAAAGGCATAATTTGAATGAAGAACATTACCATGACATGCATGCAAAAATCAAGCACCCGGATTCGCACAACTAGAATTTAAGACCACAAGAGTCGGATAATGCAGTCTGCGTTCGTTATTCTCTTAATGATTATTGAAGTGGAGTTCATGGAACCAATTGTATACCACCAATCTAGTAAACCTCTGGTTCGTTTTACCTACACGAGGAGGTCAAAATAATGTTTGGTGGGTTTTTTCTGCTAGTTCTTTATGTTTGAATAATGTTGCTTGTTTGGGGGGTACTTTTGGTATTTCCTTTTTAATAAGAGTCGTGAGTCTATTAGATTGGGGGAGCGTGAGTTTGGCGAGCATTCGGTTTTTTGTTTTTGAAATTGTAACTTGAGCGTTTGCTCTGGGAGAGTCCATGGCCTCTAGAATGCCATTGATTTCTTTTCTATTGAATTCAATCCACAACCGACAGTTTAGATCCAGTTTACTACAAATTGGTATTAGAGCAACTACGATCCAGGAATGGTGACGAGGAGTATGGCAACAAGAGTAGACGATTTGGACAGCAGTGTGGGGTCGATCGAAAAAGGAATGCAGGTGAGTCTGGAACAGATCAAGAAGATCGGTAGCAGCAAGAAGAGGTGGTTAGCAAATTGAATTCTTCTCCGTCGTGGATAAGTTTCCGATTCCTGTTGTAGAGGAGTTATTGGATGAATTGTTTGGTGCTCGTGTATTCTCGAAGTTGGATTTGAAGTCTGGTTACCACTAGATTCTGATGAAGGAGAAAGACGTTCAAAAAGACCGTGTTTTGCACACATCAAGGGCATTACAAATTCCTTGTAATGCCCTTTGGATTGGTCAATGTGCCAGCTACGTTCCAAGGATTAATGAACGAGGTATTCAAATGCTATCTACGCAAGTTCATTTTGATATTTTTTGATGATGTATTAGTGTATAGTAGATCTATGGAGGAGCATTTGACACATTTAAGGAGGGTATTTGAAGTTCTATCTCAACATCAACTATTTGCTAATAGAAAAAAAATCTGAGTTTGGCCGAGATAGGTTGGGATATTTGGGACATATCATTTCTGGTCAGGGAGTGGAGGTTGTTGAGTCTAAAATTAAAGCCATAAATGATTGGAAAAGACCCAGTACCATAACGAAGTTGAGGGGATTCCTTGGTCTATCCGGTTATTACCGGAAATTCATTAAAGGATATGGTGTATTGGCAGCTCCACTTACTGATTTACTTAATAAAATCAGTTTGTATGGTCTGATGAAGCTCAACAAGCATTTGAAGAACTGAAGAAAATATGTCTGATGCTCCCGTTTTACGATTACCTGATTTTTCGGCCAATTTTGTTATTGAAACAGATGCATCGGGTTATGGATTGGGAGCGGTCTTGATGCAGAATGAGCAGCCGACTGCTTATTTCAGCCAAGCGTTGGGGTTAAGAGCTAAGCAGAAGTCAGTCTAAAAAGGAATTGATGGCCATAATCTTGGTTGTTCAAAAGTCGAGACCTGATCTGTTAGGAAAAAATTTCATCGTATGAAGTGATCAGAAGAGCCTTCGTTTTCTTTAGAACAAATGGTGGTTCAGCCAGAATATTAAAAATGGGTTGTCAAATTGTTGGGATATGATTTCTCATCTTTTATAAGCCAAGTAATACTAATCGAGTTGTTGATGCTTTGTCTCGTAAAATAGAGGATGTTGAGTGTGCCAGCGTGGGGGGACCTCAGTGGAGATATTGGAACGGTTTGTTACAAGAGATTGAAAATGATGAATTTTTGATGAAACTCAAAGCTGATTTGCTAGTGCATAGTTCGGCCCATAAAGGGTTTGAATGACAATAGGGGTTGCTGTTGTATAAAGGAAGATCAGTCATTAACAGAAAGTCAAAAATGATTCCTTTATTTTGGGGGATTCCATGGTTCGCCTATCAGTGGTCATGCGGGTGAGATCGTTCCTATCAAAGAATTTCAGCGGAAGTGTTCTGGGTTGGTATGAGAAGGGATATTGCTGTATTGGTTAAGCAATGTGAAATTTGCCAACGAAGTAAAAGCTTAACAGGGTCTCCAGCAGGGCTGTTGCAACCCTTTAATCTGCCATGTAGTTTTTGGGAGGAGTTATCGATGGATTTCATTGAAGGTTTACCTCGATCGAACGGAATGAGTTCTATCATGGTAGTTGTGGATCATTTTAGTAAGTATGCCCATTTCATTGGACTAAAGCATCCATTTACGGCTCAATTAGTGGCTGAAATCTTTGTTAAAGAGATCATTCGGCCTCATGGGATTCCTCAATCAATAGTGTCAGATAGAGACAAAGTGTTTTTAAGTTCGTTTTGGAAAGAGTTATTCAAGCTCCAAGGAACTAAATTGAAATACAGCTCAGCCTATCATCTGCAATCAGACGGCAAGACTGAAGTAGACAATAAGCGTCTAGAACAGTATTTGAGGTGTTGGGTTTCGGACAGGCCGAAACAATGGAGTAAATGGCTTTCTTGGGCAGAACTATCATATATACTTCGTATCATACTTCTCTCAAATGCTCTCTTTTTCACGTCCTTTATGGGAGAGAACCACCACCTTTATTACGATTTAGAGCAGCTTCTTCTAAACTACAGTCCGTGGTGGAACAAGACTTGATGAATCGAGATGAGATTTGGGACGAGGTGTGAATGCATCTGCTGAAGGCTCAGTGCCGAATGAAGCAACAAGCAGGTTTGAAGAGGAAAGATGTGTCGTTCTCTCCAGGTGATTGGGTGTTTCTTTACTTACATCCCTACAGGCAAAAATCGTTGACAAGTGGGAGGGCTAGATTTTACGGGCCTAATAAAATTCTGGAGCAGATTGGAAAGGTAGCGTACATGTTGGAGCTACCAAAAGATCCAAGATACATCCGGTTTTCCATGTTTCTCAGTTGAGGCAAGCTGTGGGTAAATGTAATTCTATCAATAAAATTCCTCAACAACTCACTGAAGAGTTGGAATTAAGAGCAGAACCGGAGGATATCTTGGATGTGCGTCCCATGGACAAGGGGATCCGGGTCAATTGGAGGTTTTGGTTAAATGGAAGGGATTGTCTGAATTTGAGTCTTCGTGGGAGGTTCTCAAAGCACTGTCACAGCAGTTCCTAATTATCACCTTGAGGACAAGGTGAAAGTTTTGGGGGGGAGTATTGGTAAACCTCCGGTTTGTTTTACCTATAGGAGGAGGTCAAAATAATGTTTGGTGGGTTTTTTCTGCTCGTTCCTTTATGTTTGAATAATGTTGCTTGTTTGGGGGGTACTTTTGGTATTTCCTTTTCAATAAGAGTCGTGAATCTATTAGATTGGGGAGCGTGAGTTTGGCGGGAATTAAGTTTTTGTTTCTGAAATTGTGACTTGAACGTTTGCTCTGGGAGAGTCCATGGCCTCTCGAATGCCATTGGGGTTTCTTTCCTATTGAATTCAATCCACAGCCGACAGTTTAGATCCAGTTTACTGCACAATCCATTTCAATAAATTTTGCAGTCTCAAAGGAGAAAAAAAGCACCCTGACAGACAGGTGCAGAAACAGCAACTCACATAATACTGCCACTTAAATGGTTTCATATATATGACAAATAACTTCAACCAGATGACATTATTCATCAGTTCTGCATATATCTGACACCAAATCTATGAACTATGGGTAGCTAATTTCCGTATGATACTAATATCTTGCAATATATACCAGCACAATAATAGAAATTTGTCAGAAAAGAAAAAGAAACAATACAGAGTTTTGAAAACACCAATCAATGGTCAATATAAACATATCAAATAAACCTGTTTAGCAAGTGAGGTGGCCACCATATTGGAGGTAGCTACAGAAAGAAACATAAATCCATAACTCATATAATCACAAAGCACCGTACCCGGCCCTGCAAAAATTCAAGTAAACACTAATCAGCTGCACAATTCTACTCCAATGTTCCCTAAAGTCTTAAAGTTCATTTGCGTCTACGAGACCTGTAAAATAACACCTTCCAATGTCCCCAAATTTTACTCAGCACCTCTACATTTCACACTAATACTTGAAATAATACAATGATTTGCCATTGTCATCCCACATCATTTGCAGCAATCTGATGGTATTGGTAGAACATTTCCCAGTACACTTGCCAAATGGAGTAAATTCCAAAATTGTGTGTGTTTTAAACTTGTTCCAAAAACATGCATGTTTTATTTCAATATTCCAAAAATAAGCTTTTGATTTAAAAAATAACTAAAAGTAACACACTCGCTCCTGTTTTCCTTCTCCCTTCCCCAACTCTCTCTCCTCCCTCCTTCCCCTCCCTCTCACTATCCTCTTTCTCTTTGATCATTGTTCGTATACATGTCGATTTTTCTAACATTGTTCATAGTGGGATGGCAATTGCTTAGAATCTAGTTATGTTTTCACAAAGGACTTACGCAAAAAGTGCATCCATGGTAATTTTCATTCTCTTTGTCCCTCTTCTTATAGCAATTAAAGAGGTAATGCTCTTGAAGAAAAACAAGAAACCTCCAATTACAGTTCTTGAGGTATTAATTGAGAATATCAATCATGAACGTGGACCTACAAATCCCGAATCATTGGAAACAGAGAATCCAAAACCAAAAGCGAAAATATCCTGTTTCGCAAATTTGTAAGGCGAACAAGGTTTTTGCTAGAGATAGTTTATACAGAGGTTGGAGAGTGTAGAAGGTTTAGAAGATAATAGGGCATTTCTTCTAACAATGTTCAGTCATCACCCATATTTTGTTTATGAATATACAAATATTTATGAAATGTACTTGTGCTTATGAATGTATTAATGTTTATCAATTTTTCGCAGCATCCAATACTCATGAGTGTTCAGAAAAATCAATCAAATACTGATTGATTTAAACATCAATCGAACTAAATTGAAATCCATACAGCAACAAAAGAAACCCAGAGTCCAAATTCATATTTTGGGAAATAAAGTCTTGTTTCAAATCTATCAAACTACTACAAGCCTATATCGACAAATATCGAGCTACACAATACTACAAATGAGCCTATATTGAGCAATGTCGAGACTATATCGAGCAATATGAAGTCTTGAAACTAAAAGACTTTGTTTGAATTTATAGTCATGGGTTTGATACTTACTCTATGTGAAATTGTATTCAATTGACCAGGTAAACAGTACAGATTTATACACTAAAACTACACATTTTTCTTTGGTATATATAACTGTTTTGAGGTTAGATAGATAATTAATAATTGCTCAATCATTTTTCAATTATATTACAATGAAAAGCCCTATTCTTTCCCAAAATAACCCTCACTTAAACCCCCTAAAACCCCGTCTTTCCCTCTCACTCTAGCCTATCGATTTTCCAACGGAATCTCTTTGTTTCTCACTTGATTTACTCGATGAAACCCAAGGGGCATGAGCATCATCGACCACCATCAACATAAACCCCATAAAAAATCAAGAAAACTCAGAACCAGGAAAATTAAAAATAAACCATGTACTTACCCATTGAAAACACACAACTTCAGTAAAATCAATGTCCCTTACCCATGATGTCAGATAGTAGTGAGGATGGTTGTTAGTAAGGTGAGATGGTGGGGTATTTGGTAATAAAAAAAGATAACGCATCTAATAAGACCATATTTTTACGATGATTGATCATTCACAGTATTTTTGACAAAATTTTCCTGTTGAAGTAAAACATGAGGTTTAAAAAACTGATACAAATTTTTCTGCAAAATGATACGCTAGAATCAGCATGTTCAAATCCCATAGTTGTGCACCGAGAAATTATCTAACCCGGTTCCGGGATGTTCAAACAAAATAGTACGGAAAACGACAAATTAACGTACCTAAAGCTGCGAGTTCGACAGAACTCGACTGACCAATCACAGCGGTATCAATCAAACTCATCAACGGTCCACACAACCACAGCCCTGCCGCTGGTCCAGAGAACTTCACAATCTCCACAAGTTGATCCCAAATACTCTCATTTTCAGCCAAATCCTCAGGCTTACTCGCAATTTCCTCCTCTTCATCTTCACCACCATCGCCAAAAGACGAAACCACAGCAAAACTCTGGTCATTCCTATACCCTTCTTCATAGGAAACTCCTCGGATAGGGTTAACATGAGTAAGAAACCGAGTTCTTAGGAACAACGGATAGTAGGCCGATTTACGACGAGATTGAAAGCGCCAACTATAGCGGCATTGGGAAGGAGACAAATATGACAATAAGGGGGTGAATTTGGGAGTAATTAGGGTTTTAGAATCCATGAATTTGGTATTGATGTGGTGGGGAGAAGATGAATTGGGCATTGACATGGTTGGTGAAATATATCTGGACAAGATTTTGCCTCTTTTGGCAATTGGAATTTGGAAGAATGTTTTTGACTTTTGAATTCAAACACGTGTTCACTTCTTTCCCAATCAAACCCTCGCCTTCAATTTATCGATCATAATAAATTGTCAATTGACAAAAAAAAAATATACATTGAAATGTACCTGAATTTGTTTTTAGAGTAAATTACAATTTTTGTTCGTGTCGTTTGTTTTCTAAGCGTGGATTTTCGTTTTTATAGTTTATAATTTGTTGTAATTTAGCTACAAGGGGTGGTGTCTGATTGGTTTAAGCTTGGTTTCAAATATCAAAAGTATCAGGAGATCTCGGGTCCAAATCCAATGAGGAATAAAAATCCTCTTATTGCCATGGAGGTTCAAATGCGGTGACTCCGGGCTATCTGCAAAGCAAGTGGTTGTCCTGAGATTAGTCGGCTCGCATAGCTGGTTGGACATCCAGGTTAATCAAAAAAAAAATATTTTAAATTTTGTATGTGAGACGGCTTATTACAATTAAGTATAAGGGACGAAAATAGTAGGCAAATCCTGAAGGCTGCTATCCCAATAAGCTAGCGGGCAGAACGAGGAGAGGCCCCGACATAGCAGGAGAGGGGGTTGCTATGCTTAGTTTGGTGAATAAGAATTTTGATATAAAGTGTTATCTACGACCTCAAAAATATAGGGATAGTATCAGGTTCTAAATGGTATAAGTTGTGGCGTGGCGGCGAGGTCAACCCTCAAGCGTTAAGAGTCATAGCGTTTTTCAATGCGTGATTTATAGCGGCAAATCTTTATATCATATAAATTATTATACATATAAACATATATTTTCTACTATTTTAGTCAATGAATCAATCATATTACATAATTTAAATTAGATTATACATTGGATACTGATAAAATAAAACATTAAAAAAAGTTTAAAAAATCAAATATTGGCGTTACAAAAACCACGCATTAGGTCATGACGTGTCACATACTTAACGTGACATGAGACACAAGTCTTAAATCACGACGGCTATTACGACAAACTTTTTCTTAACACTGGATGGTGTAAAAAAATTCAAAAAACTTAACTTACTCTTGTTTTTATAATATATACTATATTATAAAGCATTTGACAAAAACTCTTAAAAACATTTTTTTATGTGTAAAGTACTGTTTATTAATGTATATTACTTAAAACTCAAGATTGCAAGTAGATTGTGCGTAAGTACAACTTATTAAAGTTTCATATATGAATTCGTGTAACTAACTGCAGATAAACATAATCAAATACATGATAAACATATCATTTTAAATACAAAAAATCTAAAATAGAATTAGTATAACATTGAGTTCTAACAGAATACTTAATTATTATCTATTAAAATGTTTATATTACTAAACCAAAAATAAATTATTTCATTATTAAACTTAAATTAAATTATAATAAAAAATAAATTAAAGAAATTACATAAATATAAGAAATTTTAAATAGTTGATTTGATATTAACATTGATATATGTTTTTCAATTTTTTATGATATCTTCAAATTTATATTTTATTCAAAAATAAAATCATTAACGTTTTATTAAAAACACATAAAATCGTATTATAACATCGACAGAGACAAACAATAAAATAAAATATTAAATTCGAGATGTATCTCGCTGCATTACACGAATACTCTTCTAATTATTAATAATATATTTGACATATTCTTAATATAAAAAAATAGAACTTGTTAAGAGGATTACATTCATTTTCTAATACTTTTCTCATTTTAAAATTAAAACATTAATTATATTATTAAATATTTTATATATTTATTAAATAATATTTCTCACTTAAACATTTAGTTTCAAGTTTTTTTAATATAATAAAATAATATTTTTCTCTTAAGGTAATTATTTGTGGAAGGCTTTTAAATTTAGAAATTTTCACACTTTATCTTTTATTTTTTTCGGTCTGGAGAAATGTTTGGCAATTCTACTAGAACAAAATATCTGCTCAAAATCTCTATTTTTTACGTTTTGAAGAATTTATTGAAGATGTTTATATATATATATATATATATATATATATATATATATATATA